CACCGAGCAGGGGTTCCCAGGGGTCTTCCCCGCGACAGTTCCGGTATGAGAAGTCGGTTCCAGTGAATCGGTCCCTAAAGCGTGCGCGGCAGTCTTCGATGTTCTTGGATTGCGGCTCAGTCAGGACGACATGCGTGGGAGGCGAGGGTGTGTGCGTCAAGAGGCCTTCGGCGGCATTGCCGCTGCCCGAACCGATGTCATGAATGACGTCCAGAGGGCCTTCATGGTAGTTTGTCCAGAGCTTCCACATAGATTCTGGATAGGGAGGCCGGTGATCGACGTAATGCTTTGCCTCCTTGGCGATGGCCACATTGGGTTGATGGCCGGCATCTGGGTGAGGGGCAGCGAGGGGGCCACTCATTGTCGACAGGGTTCGAACGGGCGCTGGCCTGTGTCTCTGTTGCTTGGTGTTCTTATAATGGTAACCCGAGAATGACACGATATGAAGGCAAAATAGTCGATCCGCGTACGATTCCGGGCCCACCGCTTTCTCTTATTCTTGGGAATGGCGGTTGGCCCTGTAGTGCTGATCCTCGGACTTGAACGTGGTACCGAGAGAATCCCATCGGACTGGCTGGGCAGAAAGGGAGCAATTCTTAGGTTTGCATGGTCTGTGTTTCTTTCCGTAACCGACGGGTTGCGACGGTAGAGCTACACACCTTCTGGTCCGAGTCTGATGGAGATACTGGGGTGCAGGCGACTGACTCAATCCACGGTCGCATTGCTTAAACTTTGACGTTTCTGATAATTAGGTGGTAGTAGATAAGCGCGTCTATCGAGTCTTTCAAAGCTTCTTGGCCTTTGAACGAACAGCCACGCACTACTTGAAATAAGTTTTGACAACACTGGAATTAGTGGAAGTTTGTCTCTGATCATGTTTCCAACCCCTGCTTTACCGACGGCACTGCCTGCAAGATTGACAGATGGTTCACAGAAAAACACCGAATTTCGAGCGGGAGCGTGATTAGGTTCCGTTGGCTTGGAAGCTCTTGGAAGCTGGCTAAAGAGGCTGTAGCTTCCGCCTCAGAACAAGGCTCACTTACGCATGTACCTCAGCTTGCAAGGTGTGAGCGGGTAATCGCGAAGTAAGTGGACTCGGGGCACGCGGATCCAGATGCCCCGCGCACGATATTACACCATCTTGATGGACCTTCATGTAATTACTAGCTGCAAGAGGAGCCAAGCCCAACCTTCTGGTTTGATTATCCTTGCCATTTCTCCAAAGACGGGGCGAGTCATCCACAAAGCCAAAGCCCGTCTGATGTGATGAACACATCCCACCCAGAGCGAATGGTGCAGCATTGACTGTGGGTTACGCGGCGAGGGGAAAGAAAGTTAAACAGAGTAGTTGCATCAATCACTTTGATTGGCTGGCTCCTCAAAATAACCAAGCATCCCATGCTGCTTTCTATTCTTTTTGTCATGTTGTGGTCCTCTGATAGAGCTGGTTCCTTGACGAAACAGTCTTATTCTTCAGGATCTGCTGTCAAGCTAGAGAAGCTTGGGAAGTCTGGATCCTTCAGTTTGGGATGCTTTGGGTCATTGTCACTTCAGACAGAGCTTCATGCCGGGGAGGTGTAACAATCTTGACTGGTGTATACTTCGAGTTACCTGCCGGGGAAACCCTGCTCAGTTAGCCAAAACTCTGGGTAAGTGTTTGGTTTCGTCCGTTGGTGATATCGCAGCACTGCTTACTTAGACCAAGCTTATCTTGCATCCAGCCCGACATTTTGTTTACAACAAGTGCCGACGCTTTGCTCAACGTGGAACACTGCCGTCCGGTATTCTTTCTAGAATACTTCGAAGCTTGAATGCCCATTTCCCACGCAAAACCTAACTCAAGCTATCAACATGCGTCGAATCACACGTCGAAGAGGAGCTTGTCAGGCTTGCAGGTCGCGGAAAGTCCGCTGTATGTATTCAGCCTTACTAGCATTGTCAGCTCATCATGACATTTTTCAGGTGATGGAGCCGACCCGTGTCTTAATTGTGAGGTGAGAATAGGTTGCCCATACTGTACAACTCAGGCCTAAACTAATAACTATCAGCGAAACGGGCAGGCTTGCTACTATCCGCCGTTAGCTCCTCGGCCGAGACGAACAAGCGCACCGGGAGCAACCAACAGAACTGCCCCCACTATCCGAAGACTAGGAATCAATACCGACCAGAACTGCTCCGTATACGATGCTTGGCAACAAATGCCCTGTGATACAACTCTTTTGACGCCGAACTCAACAGAAGGAACTGCGAATAACGGTGGAAAGGTCGATGGTGAAGACTTCAGCTGTATGCTCCAACTGTCGCTCCCGGAGGCTTACCCGGATTTGGGGCATGATGGGCGGTTGAACCTGATGGATCTACCATTGCCGGGAGAAGACGAGCTCATGGAGCTGCTGGACACGACGCCATCTGACTGTAATTCCAGCAGTGGGTTCAAATTCGATTTCACTACTTCAAACACAGAGCAGTTCCCGCAGTCGCCAATTACTGCTCCGTCATTACCGAATGATGGCCAACCTCGCACCAGGCCGGAAACTACGAGCCCTCCAGACTATAATACAGTAGGTGAAGTGGAATACGATTACTACAAGAACGCCAATGACTTAGACACCGCGCAGTTATTCGACTTTGACGAAGCAACGGAAAATCCACCACCTGCTTTCAACCCGAAAGACAAATTGCCGGCTACGAATAATGGTACAGTGCACGTCGACTTTTCCGCCGCAAATATCTATGGCCTTCCTGAATTCATCTCTCAGGGAGGCAGGGATAGCCAAAGAAATGAGACGATCAAGATTGTGAACGGTCTACGGCGAGTTCTGTGCGAGAGTCCAGTGGTGTCAAGCGAGGATGGATCACTTGATAGGACGAAAAGGTTTCCCGAGACCGACAACGCCCTTTCACGATACTGCGATGGTAAGCATTGTCCCACTCTTAGGCCAACCGACTGGAGATAGCTGACACAATCAAAATAGCATGCTTTGAAGATTGCTGCCCGTGAGTAGTTATACGGGGGGGACGAGACGACCCGAATTGCCCAAAACTAACATTACTTTGACTCGAATAGTATTAGTGATTTCATGACGAAATCTGCAGTCGAAAGCATTATCAAGCGGTCCAGAGAACCTGAGCCCGATAAATTAGTTTCAGTCTTTGCAGAAGCCATTGTAGCTGTGGGCTTTCATACAGCTTGCCTACGAAATCGACAAACTCGAAGCGTAGAGGAGGCCTACGAAGCACAAAAACGCCTTGCAGCAGCTTTACGGCTGTATAAAGACATCCAAAACTCCCCAAGCACGTTACTGAAGTTTCAGGTCACGCTAGTGATGGTAATTATGATTCAATCTTCAACGGATTCACCACAAAGATGGCTGTAGACCCTAACTTAAACAACAGGCAGTGATTGCATACGTATGCGAGGAGTCTTTGATCTGGGACAAAATCACTGCAGCAGTTTGTTGTGCGCGTGACCTTCGTCTCGTTCACGCGGCAAGAGGCCAGCAAACGAGCATTAGCGATCAGGATCAGGAGCTGGCCCAACGGGGAGTTTGGTTTCTCTACAGCCTCGAGACCGATTACGCTATCCACCATGGGATGCTCCCAGTGAGTCTACCAATTCCGTGATCTTGGCCAAGGCACCTACTGACATGCTGGTAAAGATACTAGATCTGGGATGGGGGATCCAATTTCCATCGTTTGACAAAGGAGACGACATGATTGCCGCGTCATACACCTTCTCCGAGCTTCTACACTCGGTACTGAAATTTCAGTACAGCCCAAGAGCACTAAACAAGTCCGCATCGGCATATGATCGTCGCGATCGACTGCAAGCCAGCTGCCATGTTCTCAATGAATGGCTCAGTGGCCTGCCGGCACCTCTCAACGAGGCGAATGATGCCAAGGTACTCCAAAGTATTAAGGACGACCGGCAGCTACGGAAGGCATTCCGTGTTTTCTGCATGTATCATCGGGCTGTGTTTTTCATCCATTGTCCGTGGATAACACCAATCGCTACAGATGACGCGGATGTGTCCGGTGTTGCCGAGCAGACCAGGCAGAGGTGTGTCGAGCGTTGTGTCGAGTCGGCATTTGCCGTTGTTAAGCTGGCAAACAGTGGACTATTTTGGGAAAAGGGATTTGAAAGGTACGTTATGTCACCGCAATTGAGACAGAGTTGCTGACGTTGCACGTGGAAAGAGATATTGGATCATCTAGCATGAAATGGGGCAATATGGGACAGCTTCTCTTAGTATCACTTTGCTTCATTGTTTACTACCTCGTCAACGGAGAGAAGGCGAATCGCAAGACAGCAATGCCTTACTTGGCTATTTGTGGAGGTTTATTTGGGAGATTGAGTTTGGATATTGATGAGGGTTCTTTGATGGATCATTATCTAGAGCTCATCCAAGTGGTGCGGGCAAGTTGATACATTTCGAAGAACTCATAGCATCTCATAGCGAGAGCGAGGGAGACATCAGACCCATGACGCCTTGTCAAACAGCAGTCTTAGTTGAAAAGAACAAAGCTGCAGGCTTAAACTGCGTACAATGCTCAAGTGTCACTCAAGGTTCAGGGGCGGCCCGCTCGGCTAGCCGATTGGTAACCTGTGGCCTGACAAGACAATCTTGGCTCTTGGCACGAACTGGATACCCAGCTGTCGGGGAGGAAACATCGGCAAGGCCTAGCGGCAAGTAAGTCTCCTGGGCGGTCGTATTTACCCGCGGGCGGATGGTATTTTCCTAAAAATGGGGAACATGATCACGAATTGATGCCGGCGGGCGGAAAATCAAACAAAGTTCATTGATCTCTAGGCGTTTGCAACAAGAGTTGATTTAGACTTTCAACTTGACAAAGTATGATTACCGCCACTGTGGGGCCGGCGGGTGGAGTGATCCTTGTTACTCTTCAACGAAGTTCCATTCTAACTAGGGCTATTTGGACCATTGTGGATACTAAAGTAGACGTCAAGGATAGAAAACATGGATGGCAGAGTCTCTATCTTAGAAGTTCACCTCCTCCTTTCTCCGCCTGACAAGGACCCTGGTGGTGGGGTTTGCAAGCATAGAAAACCCAAACTCCAGAGGATTGGTGTTGGCGTTTTCCGCCAGCTTGATATCGTACTTGAGCAACAGGTGGCACATGACCAGCTTCGCCGTATTGGCGCCGAAGAAGCGACCAGGACAAGCGTGAATGCCGAGGCCAAAACCTAAGTGTTCAGGCGAAGTGCTGACCAGCTGAGATGTCTTTTCCCCTTGCTCAGAAGCTTCCCGCAGTCTCAGGAAACGGTATCCATCATAGGTTCGCGGGTTCTCATAGATCTTCGGGTCCCACATTTTTTCCGCATTGACAGCAATGCCAGAATCTTGGGGAAGAAATGTGCCATCTTTGAGGCGGACGTCTTCCATGACTCTGCGTCCAAGACCCACTGCGAAATTTATTAGTAGAGACTAATGAAAATGGCAAAAAGATGCCCCAAGAATACGCAATAAGATAAGTAGTTGATCCAAGGACAGGAGAAACGCACCAGCTGCGACAGGCTTAAGACGCAAAGTTTCCTTAAGAACACTGTCAAGGAGCTTCGTATTGTAGAGACTCGTAGGCCTCCACTGCCCATCTCCGATAACAGACCGGATCTCGTTCCTTAGGGGCTCGAACATCTCTGGGTTCTTACAAAGATCCATGATGCTCTGGGACATGAGATCGTTGCTGGTCAGAATGGCAGAAATACTGAGGGCCAACTGTTGATCGGCAGGATCATAGTCAACGCTCATTCTTTTCGCTGCCGTCTCGTACCAGTCCAAAGCATCATGATACTCTAAGCTTGGATCTGCTACCTTCTGTACACGGCGCTTCTCTAGAATAGGCGCGATGATTTGCCGCGCTTCAACTAGCATAGCGCGAACTTCACGGCATTCCGGGAGAAACCAGTGAACGGTGCGATAGAGAAACACAGGCCAACGCCGTAAGACTTTGGCGGCATTTGTTGCTTTGTTGGTGTAATTCACTGTGATTTTCAGCCAGTCGCGGTTTCGGCACAGCTCTGGGCCAAGAAAAATGACAGAGGACACTCGGGCAACAATTCGAATGATTACATCGCCAAGGAGAACCTCGTGCCATTCTGAAGAGAGGGAGAAGCCATTAGAGTTTGATGCTCTCGTGCGTGGTCCATGGTGATCACAACTTACCTTCGTCATCGGTTAAAATATCACTTAGAGCAGCGTTTGCCTCATCAGACAACGGCTTGTTCAGCTTGGCTAGAGATATGTTGGAATTAATAAAAGAAAATCAGCATCAGTGTAAGTTCTAGATAACATACCAATACCAGTAGGCGTTAGATTCCATTTGATGACATTGTGCAGGATTTCAGTTCCGAGGGCAATGTATGGCTCGAACCCTGGGATGCCAGCTTGCCAGTACTACAAGAACGGCGCAAAAGTCAACAATTGAGCTCCAAGCAATAAGCTCGATTTACCGCTCGTCATACCTGGAGTAAGAACTTCGTTGAGTCGAAACGAGCATCGTTTCGAACCTCTGGCATGACGCTGTGATTGAGAATAATCACCCCGCCGCCAAGGCCGGTGTTGACTCTGAAAGGCTTTCCACCAAATTCTTTCAAGCCCCGGGCCAACATCGCCCTTCCGCTCATGAGATATTCATTTTTCGAGGCGTTTATAACTGGGAACGCTGACAGCTTGTTTTTGCGCAGCGAAACGGTCATCACTGAGGCTAGCAAGATGATAGCCATCAGATAAGGCACATAGCTGCTGGTTTCCATCGAGCTTGGCAGGCCGAAATTGGCCAAGTCGACCCATGATGGCCGGGGAGGACTGAGGGTGGTCTGCGTGTTGGTATTGAGATAACTGGCCATCGTTGATAGATTGAAGCGTCGCTTTCTCACTGTGAAACACTAGGAGGCGTACGCGGGTGATTGATTCCGGACTTTGTTCAACTAACATGAGCTCTACGCGGGTGGGACGGTGGAGGGCCCAAACTAACGACCCCTTCAACATTCAGCTCACCCCATACTTTCTTCCATGGCGATTCGCATTTTTGGAGCCCAACGCGCTTCCCTTCATGTTCGGCTCCGAACCACCGGCGTCTTACCATTTTTCCGTCTAGCCCCCGGATCGAAAGGTAAAGTTGACTGGGATACTTCGGTCCGAGTGGGCGGAGCCGGGGTTGCATGAGGGAGTTCGCGAGTCAACGCACGGTGCTGTCGGGCCAGGGATAGCGTCGCGCCGTGGTCCCGTTTATGGTTTCATGAAGGAGTTTCCGAAACCTTATGCCACCTAATGCCACCAGCCCCTTTGTTCCAGACTTTCCGGGCATTGTGTCCATTTGCCTTTTCGGAGCTGGAAGAACAAGGAACCCTTTGAGTTACGGTAAGCAACTTTGTAGGAAAAGACTTCTGGTTAGACACTGGGAGGCAGGTGAAATGTCTCTACGAACCACAATCTGCTATTCTCAGTAAGGCTTTGCAAAATGGACAAAGGCCTGAGTCGCTCATTCTTGGACCGGCACAGGCCGTCGATGCTGGTGCTGGCATCCCAACTCTCTGCCGCGGCACTAAACGGCTTTGCCAAGTTTTTCGAGACGGGCGAAGACCCCGTACACCCATTCCAAGTTCTATTCGTCCGGTTTCTCATCACGGGCACAGCATGCACTGTCTACCTCTGGTTCACGAAAGCTCCAAAGTTCCCGTTAGGATTGCCAGAATTGAGGTGGCTACTAGCTCTGAGGGCAGCGGCCGGCGTTTTCGGAGCCTTTGGCTTCTACTGTAAGATAAACTATCGCATCGTGACATGAGCTTTTGGTGAGGTGACCTTGTTAACATGTTACCTACTAGTTTCCATCATGTACCTTAAGCTTAGTGAAGCAACGGCCTTGAACTTCCTTGGTCCGCTCACTGCCATGATCTTGATTCGATACCTAGACTATGGCACGTTCGAAGTGATTGATCGGATCGGGGCCTTTGTCGCGCTCGTTGGTGTGATCCTCGTCGTCCAGCCAGACGCGCTATTTGGCTCTAAGCCAACATTTGCAACCGCTGCTCAGTTTATTGCCGACAGTACCCCGAAAGGCAGAATGATGGGCTTCGGGTTTGGGTTGATCAGTGTGTGTGGTGGAGCGGTAAGTGAGCGATGATTTACTCGTGAGAATCTTACTGAATGTCTCCACAGGTGGCGCTGACGGCGATCCGCTCCATCGGTACACGCGAACACCCTTTGATGAGTATCATGTACTTCGCTTGGACGATTGTCATTGTGTCGTATAGTCACAAATAGGGGCATCGACGTTAAATGTAGAGAACGGTTATCTATTGAAAGTAGGAAATGGGCACGAGGTTCGCCCTGAAATAGAGAGTGTAAGCGAGTGTGGACCTCGGGTGATTATGTAACCGAGGTCACGTGACATGCGGTGAGGCCATGGATGGTTGAAGCCA